GTCCATGCATCTCAACTTCTGGTCCAGGCAGCGTGTGTATCCTTTCCTTCATCTAGTCTAGAAATTTGTTCAAGCAGTAGCAGGTCATATAGATGCATGGCTTCCACATAGTGGATGCACTCATGAAATTAGCAGTTGTTGCTGCCGCCGGAGAGCAACACTAACATGAGACGACCTCCAAGGTTGGCGGGGCCGCGGGGGCAATGTCGCGTAAGTATTGTGGACGGAGGCGTCGGGCGTGAACGTCATTGCCATCTGCTCGTCGACGGCGTACCCGGGCGCTTCCAGGACGGCGCTGTCCTCGTCGGCGTCGCGGGCGGCCAAGGACCCCTTCGCGGCCTCCGTGCAGTTTGCCATGGCCCGGGCCGGGTCGGCGCGCGTGCTGGCGCACAACCTCCACGACGCGACCACGTGGCTCAGCGCCGCGCTCACGATGTCGCCGCAATGAGTTACTTTATGTCGTTCTCTATGGTGGGATCCCGGTCAAGACTTCAGACGCCCGCTCTAGGTTTGATGCGTTCATGCACTCGCCATGGCTGCAGAGCACGTCACATGGACGTCGATCGGGTCGAGGATCCGTTTGAGGCTTGAACCCGTCGACAAGGGCGGCCGGAGCGATTCGCTCGAAGCCGGCCGTCCTTGATCTGGGTGAGCTGGGCTCCTCCACCGATGTTGTCTGTTTTTCCCGTTCATATATAGTGAATTCCTCACATCGTCGTCGAAGATGGATGGCCAAGTGAACAGCCGCAGCCGCTCCGGTGTTACAGCGACCACCGTATAGATGGCCGGCTCTCTCTTTAGCGTGCTCTCCCGTGCTTCCGTTGAGCTTCCTCGTCGCTTGTCTAGGCACCGGCCCGTCACATTGATCGACCCGCTGGGTATGATAGGGGCTCCGTATATGTATTACGTTCTGGTCGAGGTAGTTCGTATCCAACACGTAAGGACTCATAGTCTTTTTTTATATTTGATTTGAGGATTATAAGGAATCAGAGTTGGGAAGGAAAGATCAATCTTTTTCTTTTGAGGAAAGGAAGGAAAGATCAATCGAGATGTGATCCATGGATCATTGTGGTGACGATAGTCAGGAACGCAGGAACGCTTTGGCTGGGCTTGGGCTGATTGATCCGATCGAGTTCTCATGGGCCAGCCAACAATCTATATATATGTGAAAACCCTTCAACTTTTAAATCTGAACCATCAATCTATATATTCGTGGTTCCACGAATTAGTACCACCTCGCTTATACGTTTAAATTCAAACCGAAAGCGTAAATTCACAGGAAAAAAGCGTATTGTGACGGTGAACCCGGAGACCCAATCCGTGCTTTATTATTAGGGATATATATAATATATATATATATATATATATATATATATATATATATATATAGAAAGTCTATTAGTAACCCAGGATGAAGAATTACTTATTCTTCACCCCGGTCGATCGACCCAGCCACGGTACAGCTTGGCAAGGTTCCAAGCGATATAAAATTGTATCAATACCGATGTAAGATTACCTTGACGCTGGGAGGAGCCAGCCCGCTCCTCGATACCTTCGCTAATTAGGTGCTCACCTGCGAGCGGTTTCTACTTTGAACGAGGAGGGCGCTGGGCGCGGTGAGTGGTGGGGCTTGACGGCGTGATACTCGGCGGAGATTGTTGCCGCCCCTGTCCTCCTCTGCCCCGTGCACCGATTAGGAGGCGACAGTGGCTGCGGCCGCCGCGGTGGAAGAGCGGAGGGGATGACAATTTGAGCTGCGGCGGCCGGCGCCGCCGGCCACTGCAAAGTCCAGCCCTGCACTGACGGAGAAGCCTCTAGCAACAAGAACACAACGGTGACTGCCAGCCTCCGTATGGTCTGCTCTCTCTCTAACCAAGTAATTGTTTTCTCCTTGGTCTGGTTCTCCCGTGATTTCTTCTTCTTGGAGATTGGTGCGTAAAAATTGGATTGTAAAAGTTCCTCTTGATCCGTCTATTTAGACGCCTGCACGCTTATGCTTTCTAAGCTCTGAGATTGACAGAAATTTAATTAGCTCAACTCTGGACAATGGGATGCTGGAAAGGAACTGCTGATGAGGGAGATTAGAAGAAGCTGGACGGGAATGGGCTTTCTATCAAAGAAGGCGAGAAGTAGCACAAGGCTCCTGAGGAGAAAACACAAGGTTATCTTCTTCGATCCAGCCAAAGATGGTAGCTCTGTCTCTTCTCTGTTTTAGATTATTCATGCCTTCCTTTCTTTGAGCTCCACTGTTTTGGATGAACTGGACTAGCCCCTCTTTAATCAATCAAATTCTCATGGAAAGAAGGTAAAGTGAAGTTTAATTGGAGGGTGCTTAATTAGTTGTTTCTCTTTTCTAATGGGGGCTGCATCATTTTTTTTGAGGAGAGAACCCCTATTCCAGTGTAGGCTCTCTACTTGCTATTGGAGAGAAACAAATTAAGTAGTACTAATTAAGCATGATTACATGTCTACCTATATTTAATTAAACATGATGGGTTGCTTACATGTAATTTGTAGCTATTAGGTTGGATGATGATTTACTCATATAATTAGTTGTTGTACTTTGCTAGTTTTTCATTGCTCATTTGGTCACAGGAGAAAATTAAACTACAAGTATATGTATCAAAAGATAAGGAAACATTAATGCTCCACAACTTCTAGAGAAAATATGCATGTGACTGCCTGAATGCTTAATGCTGTTTGAGACTGGCAAAAGCTAGCTGGCATATATATAGTCAAAAAGGGTCATATCATCTAGAACAAAAGGTAGGCATGATGCTCAGTGTCTTTCTATAATTGATACTAATTAATTCTGAAGCTGCAGAGGTGTCATTCTTTTGTTTTGATTGCCTGATGATTCCTTTTTGTCCTCATTTGATATCCAGGCTGCCGAGGTGACACATAGATACTAACTAATTCTGAAGCTGCAGAGGTATCCTTATTTGTGGTAAGAATGAGTAGCACATGGATGTATGCTTGCACTGATGTATGCCTATCTAGAACAGGTCAATGAATGAGCAAATACTCCAAATGCCTATGCACGTGTTGCTTCTTGTTCACAAAGGTAACAGAGTAACAGAAATTCACAATTTAGGAAAGGAAGGAAGTTCACAAAATACTGAACTTTGCACAACAAAATTCACCCTTTTACATGTTTGGACACAACATAACTTTTTTCCTAATTGACTTATAATTTCAAATACTTTTCCAGGCCCAGTTTGGGTAGAACATGGCCCGCTTTGGTGGGTGGCATGGTCATTCTTTTCTGAACTGAAGCTGGTGTCAAAAGGAAGAACTAGGTCATTTCGTTGTAGTAACAAATTTCGAATGTTTCTTCATATTGTGTATTTTCCTACTCATGCCTTTGTGGAAGCTGCATATAATTTTTCCTCTCTCTACCATCCATGGCTCTGTTAATCTGTTTCTAGTTTTCTGACATTGATTTATGACATGTGGTGCGAATTATTATGCGGACAATCATCGTACATAACTTGTTGATGTGCACATTGCAAGGAAACCGAAGAAGTTTCTTTGGGAAGATGCACAACAAAGCAATGCGACATAGCCGGAACTTCTAACTAATGCTTTGCCTTTCTCCTTGTCAATTTTTTCCATATCCTATTTTGGATGCTTCTTACGGAATACATCTACCATTTCAGATATGAACTATTCACCATTGGGACGAGAAATCCATAGCTTCTGCAGTTCTATCTGGCTAAGGCATTTTGAAAGGAATCAACAGTCTAGTTGTGCAATGGAAATAGTTCAGACTGCCACATGTAGTTTGTTACACAAATTAACTCAATTTCTTTTTTGCAAATGAGGCCATGCTGGTAGTTCTTATGGACAAATGTGTGTGTGGCAGCATCTATTTTAGATGACTTCGTGTTTCCAGCTTTTTGGAGTCACCAGGACATGCCTTTTGTGTCAGGATTCGTATTTTATGATGGCGCCTAGATTTCTTCCGTGACACAATGTATTTGTCACCTAGAATTTTTATCTGGCATAATGTATTTTACATTCCATTTATTTTTTGAGTTGTATTTTACATTCAAATTACTAGACCATGTATTGATGATATTATCGTATAGGCCGGCATTTTAACTTTACATCAAGTCCTAGTTTTGTTCAAGTCATTTGCAAGCAACAGCGCTGAAGTAACTGATATTCTTGTTTCGCGTCAGCATTCCTATACTTCGTAAAAAAAATGAGAGAAAACTTCGTAATTTCTTAAGCCAGTGGTATACAAAAGGGTTAATAAGTCAAACGTGTTCCTACTTTATCTGGGCCTTAAATTGTTTTTAGGGAATTATCTGGGGCTTAAATTTTCTTTCATGAGTAGCCAGTTTCTACCGTGAGTAATTATCAACCTCTTAAAAATAACGTGAGTGGTTATCGGAGATGAATTAGTGGAATGTAATCTTCACTACTGGAGCTGATTTAATGGAACGTAATCCTGATTATCGGAGCTCATTTACTGGAACTTACTTTTTTGTTTGCCTTATTTAGAGAACGTAATCTTCTTACGTCGGCATGCACTTTTCTTACACCGGTGGTTCTCAGAAAAGCATCATGGGTAGTGGGTTTGGACACGCATATTAGCATGGGAGGTGCGCTGGTAATCTTACCCTTGCATGCACACTTTTTTACAACACATGCAAGTTTTCTTGCGACGTTGAGGCCTAGGGATGGACTGGGGTGAAGAATAACAATTTCTCACCTAGGGTGACGAATAGCGCGACCCTATATATATATATATATATATATATATATATATATTAAGGATAGATAGATATATTATAAAAAGGAAAAATCACAGGATCCATGGATGCGCCACTTGTTGACTAGGTTGACTCGGACGAAGCCACACCAACCACACACACACTTCTTCAACCTCTCGGCGCTCCAGTCCTTTCCGCCTCACTCCCCTCGCGCTTCCTCCTCCGCCTCGTCGACCCGGTCCCACTCGCGGCATCCTCCGCCGCCGCGCCGGCGCAGCGATGGCAGCCCGCGCCCCTTACTTCGCCCCCGAGGAAGGCGCGCGGGGCATCCGCCCAGGGGAGTCACCTGCCGCGGCGCTCCGCCGGATCCTGGCGACGCCAGGCGCTCACCAGGCGCCCTGCTGCTTCGACGCGCTCGGCGCCCGCCTCGTCGAGCGCGCGGGGTTCCCGATCTGCTTCATGGGCGGTGAGCGGTCGCTTTGCCCCCTCTCACGTTTCTCGCATGTTCTTTGTTCCTCCGGCTGTGTTCGTGCGCGGTTGTTGTAGTAAAACCCTTGTGAGGTTTAAGTTTTTGTTGGAACGATCGGCTGGAGAATAAAAGGTCCTTCGTCACCCCGGTAGTAGTAGATCTAACCAACCGTGCATTCAAAGTGTTCCAGTCAACTCACGGTTTGACATATCCTCTTGGGAAGATGAGAATCACCTTCTCCATTGCTGAAATTTTCTGCTCACTGGAAGGAGGGATAGTCCATATATCACCCTTGATTACCAGCTTAATAAAGATGTGAGTTAAAGTTTATCTGGACGTAACTTGCATTTTGCTAACAATAGTTAAGCTGGCAATTTCTTGTCATGACACATGACAAATATTGTGTGCAAATAATAAAAAATGGAACCAGAGCCGACTTGAAGAATAACTATGCAAGCACCCGCAAAAAGAAAAAATTATTCAAGAACCATTATAGCTCAGAAAGTTAAGATACAAATATTTTCCGAGTATTTGTTCTGGGTAAATGCTGCTTGTTTTGGTGTTTAACTAGGAATCTCTGTCCTTAAAGGTAGTTAATATCTATTATGCTGAATTGTTTGATGAAATAAACAACATGGAAATTAATAGATTGTAATGGCTTTTTGCATACTGAACTTCTCCAGGGTTCTGTGAAAGTAACTTTTGGTGTTTGCTGAAGGTACTTCATGCATTGGAGTTTTAATATATGTTCTCCATTCAGGTTTCTGTGTTTCTGCCGCACGACTTGGATTGCCAGATGTTGGATTAATCTCCTATGGAGAAATGGTTGATCAAGGGCGTCTAATCACTGAAGCAGTTTCAGTCCCCGTGATTGGTGATGGAGACAATGGTTACGGAAATTCTATGAACATCAAGAGAACTGTAAAAGGATATATTAATGCTGGGTTAGCTGGAATCATGCTTGAAGATCAGGTACTCATAGATTTCCATACATTTTCTCCTTCACTTGTCAAAGTCACTGCTCTTATTTTTCAGATAGATTCGGTAATTATTTTGAATGATTTGGTGAGTAACCTTATGAGTCTCATAATAGGCTGTAACTCCTTAATTTGAAACTGAAATAATTTCGATCTTATTTCTTTCTACTAAAAGTTGCTAGGCATAAGGCATTAAAAAAATCGTTGTTCCCCAGAACTGCAGCAATTTATCAGTTCCTTGTTTTTTTTAATGTGGTATTCAGTGTGTGTCTTTAGAGTGTACAAAACTAAATATAAATAATTGTTTATTTTACATCATATGAACGGGAGGTGTTCTTCTGGCTGATGGTAGTGAGTGATTAGGATTCAGACTCCCACTCCATGGTGTTCAATTATGGGAATGCATTTGTAGGATCCATCCTTAAAAAAATTGAACTGAGAACTTTAATCTCATTCACTGGACATGATTCTTACAATGCAAGTTTTTTTGGGCATATTTGGATAATGCAAGCTAAGATAGTTTCCACTCCAGTACTGTATATCATAATGCACATAATAGGCTGTAACTCCTTAATTTGAAACTGAAATAATTTCGATCTTATTTCTTTCTACTAAAAGTTGCTACGCATAAGGCATTAAAAAAATCATTGTTCCCCAGAACTGCAGCAATTTATCAGTTCATTGTTTTTTTTAATGTGGTAGGATCCATCCTTAAAAATTGAACTGAGAACTTTAATCTCATTCATTGGACATGATTCTTACAATGCAAGTTTTTTTGGGCATATTTGGATAGTGCAGTGATAAATACTGTATATCATAATGCAGGGCAGAAGGGTAATAATCATGTCCAAATATGCCCAATGCCCAAAAAAACTGTATATCCTTAATGCAGGGCAGAAGGGTAATAAAGTAATGTTTTGGAGTAGTGCTGATTTCCTTTTGTAAGATATTTGCAGCCATTGGAATTCCAAATGAATCATTTGATCCAGTGATAAATACTTCTCTTTATATCTTTGTGTGTTTAAGCAGACATTGATTTAATTTTATTTCAAAGTTTCCTTAATTTCTATATCGAAAAAGATGAACAGAAGACTTGTGTAATTGATCTTCCGCCTTCTAAAATTTTCATTAATTGATACAATACATAACATATTGAAGGTGGCACCAAAAGCATGTGGACACACTGAAGGAAGGAAAGTCATCTCGAGGGAGGAAGCGGTCATGCACATAAAAGCTGCTATAGACGCTAGAAAGGAGAGTGCCTCTGACATTGTTATTGTGGCGAGGACAGATTCCCGTCAAGCTGTTTCTCTTGATGAAGCATTATGGAGAGTTCAGGCCTTTGCTGATGCTGGAGCAGATGTTCTATTTATTGATGCCCTTGCTTCAATAGAAGAGATGAAGGCATTCTGTGCGGTTGCACCTGGAGTACCAAAGATGGTAAGATGGCCCACCTGTGTTTGTTCGTCATACTCAAGTTAGTCATTCAAAGGATAACATTTTGATT